CTAGTGGCATTTAAACGATGGTTGTGAATCTTCACGTTGAACCGTATTTCCTCCTCAGGTGCGTGATGTCGCTGATATGATTTGAGGTTGAACACACGAGTTGAAAGTTTGACATTTAGAACAATAATCTAGTGAGAGAATCTGCAGCTATAAAAAGATGCACCTGAGCAGAGGATGGAGTGTGTGTTGTAATCGGAGCTTTGTTTACACATCTAGGCCGCTGTGCACGCCCTTTAGTGCACGTGAGCTTCTCCCACTTGCCAGCTAATATCAACAGATCGCGCCAAGTGGACCTAAACGGACTCCGATTGGACCATTTGATCCAGTGAGAACCTTTGTTAAAGAAGAACATTGTCCCTCCACTTCTTGGCTGCTCGGACGCCAACGAGAAGAAGTCGAGTGCGGTTCCGTGCACGGGGGCCTGATCACGTGCACGGACATCTGACTCGGTTTGAGCCGTCGGCTGACGGGACAGAGATTCCCACTTAGCCCCTTGAAAACAAATCATTGCCGCGCCCCACAGTGCCGGTTCTGACCGGACAACCGGTAACAACCTGGCAACCAGCGAGATAAAGCAAGTCTGAGTGTGTGTGTGTGTGTGTGTGTGTGTGTGTGTGTGTGTGCGTGTGTGTGCTGTGAGTCATTTACAATCCTGTACGTGACAATGTTCACGCATTAACTGAAACTATCCTGACACCGTGACACGGGCCAGGGGGCTTTTACGTCACCGATTTGACAAGTAGCTCCCTTTATTCCGCCACACACAAAGCCCCAACTGTGCTCGCAAATGGCCGCGGGAACGGCTCAGAGGCCGCGAGCCGCGCTGGATCGGGGGGGAAGGGCCCGTGCGGCAGGTGGCCGGTGTGTGTACATCAGCCCCCCGTCCCCCCGTCCCCCCCGTCCCCCCGTCTCAGGCACAGGTGGGCTTTCTGGTCCGCCCCAGCAGGGCTCTGGCCGGACTCGTCGGTGCTTTCTGCACCCTGAACTCTGTTTGTCAGCAACACGGCCGGCGAGTGATTATGACGACATTATGGATCTCTGGCAGCAACGTTTTTCTTCTTCTTCTTCTTCTTCTTCTTCTTCTTCTTTTTCTTCTTCTTCTTCTTTTTCTTCTTCTTCCCTCTTTGAAGCTTTCCAGACGTCGTCATATAAACTTACATAACAGTTGTTTGAGACAAACTCCTCTAGCATATATACACACACACACACACACACACACACACACACACACACACACACAGTCCATTAGACTAAACTGTGGCCGGGCCTCATAGTTAATGTTTATACGCTGGCTGAGATACAGCATCAGGCGGCTGAAGGTCACATGTGCTTGTTTGATCTTTTCCAGCCAACGAGTCGGACAAATGACACGAAATAAAGGGCAGCGCCGTCTTCACCAGCCCGCCGTCTATGACTGACCCCCCCTCCCCCCCCCCGTAAGGAGACCAATCAGGGGAAGTAGGTCATTGAGGTGATATTCAGCCACAGGAACAGGATATTCAGTCCCTGTGTGTGTGTGTGTGTGTGTGTGTGTGTGTGTGTGTGTGTGTGTGTGTGTGTGTGTGTGTGTGTGTGTGTGTGTGTGTGTGTGAGGGCCTTTCCCCTTGGCCCCAGCATCACAGGCTTTATGGATTCCCAGTGACTGATGTCCGCGAAGCGTCGGCCTTCACGGTTCGTAGCATTTTGCCAGGTACAAGGAGCAGGTCGGCGATTTCGGAATACACGCTGCTAACGATAAAATAGTTAACCCAGCAGAATCACCTCACCGGACTTGATATCTCTACGTACCAACGTATAGCTGTTGAAATGTCTTGACATTGTCAAATAACTGCATGTCAATGACTGAATATACTCAGTGATGCACCCTAATGAAAGTCTCACCTGCCCACATCATTTCAATTACGAGTAAAGGGTGTAGACTTTATTCATCAATTTGTCATCTGGTTGTCCGTATCCCATTTTTCAATTCTTAATTTCACAGTGCTGTGTTAGGCCACGAGATACGCATTTAAGATGAGTATTTGACATAAGGGCACAACCTAGAAACTGCGCAATACCTCCTAAAATTCATTTCGCAAAATCTCGAATCCTGCTTTTTGGCGCCCGCCGTCCAGCAGCATCAGCCCTGAAACAGGATTTTCCCCACGAAGGTAATTCAATAA